AGGAAGGGTAGAAAGATGGTCAAAGGCTGGGAGGGAGCAGGGCACATCTGGTTTGCTGCCCAGGTTTTGCTGGACTGTGTGGAGCCAGTGAAGTACAAGCAGGTCTGAAATGCTGGCCCAAAGTGGGGGCTCAAACTGGTAGGAAATTTTGTTAGAAACATCAGCTTTCAGCAGGTACGGTGACTGCAGTGATTTTGGAGCACTCTGTAGCTGATAGGAAATCTGCTGGGACAGATACAGACTTTAGGTGGGGTACCTTAAGCTGTTGATTGACAGGAGTACTCATCTGGAGTCTGTTTGACAGGTGGATCAAAGTTGAGACTCTCTGAGGCTCACGTGAATATTTTAAGTCTACAAATAAAGAGAGGAAAGTTTTAGATACATCAGCGTTATCCATTGTCTGTACTTGAAATCCTTATTTCACAAAAAGCAGTTAACCAGTGTCTGCAAACAACTGGAGTAAACTCACCGCCTTTGAGCCATTGCAAAAACTTGGGGACCCAAAAGGACAATCCTGGGTTAAAAGCATGAACACTCTTTTTCTCTGTCCAGAGAGCTGGATATATAGATTGGTCAACGATGTTTTCAGCACAATGAGAAACACAAAGTCTATACTCAGAAAACAACCAAAGGACATCTTAAAAATTGAGCTTATGACGATAATAGCAGTTAGTGGTTTTCCAGAGCTAGATTAATAGCTTATCAGAACTTCACTGATTAATATTAAAACTTCGAACTTCTGATGTTAAAGCTTCTTAGTATAACAATAGCATAGTAAGAAGGAAAGATTTCTGATTTTTTTTTACAATTTTTATATACTTTAATTTTATACCTTTATAACTTGCATTTACATACCTTAAATCATTTTCTCAGACCCTCACACAACTTACTCAAGCTTTCCAATTCTCAGACCTTTACAATTGCATTTATATACCCTGTATCATTTCCCTCCTCATAACTTTTTGTTTTTGTTTTGTTTGCTTTGGTTTCTTGAGACATGATTTCTCTGTGTAGTCCTGGCTATTCTGGAACCTACTCTGTAGACTAGGCTCTCCTCAAACTCAGAGATCTGCCTGCCTCTGCCTCCAGAGTGCTCGGATAAAAGGCATGTCCCACCACGCCTGGCTAACCCTTACAACTTTTATAAACTCAAAATATCTTTTAATACAGTTATTTACCATGAAACATACAGAGCTTTGCTGGGTGGCATTGGCACACACCTACAGAGAAGCAGGCAGATCTCTGAGTTCTGAGTTCAGGGCCATCCTGGTCTACAGAGAGAGAGTTCCAGGACAGTCAGGGCTACACAGAGAAACCTAGTCTTGAAAAAAACAAAACAAACAAAAGCAAGTTTTAAAAATAAAGGAATAGTAAGTTATGTTGAAGCCTGTTTTGTGAGTTTATTTCTTTTAGTGTGAAGTTTGCCCTTTTTAGCAGGAGATTTAGTAGCTCTAGAAAAAAGCAAGGCCTGATTGTTACATATCAGATGGACTGACTAGGCAGTTGTAGCTGTGGTGGGGGCAGGGATGGGGGGGTCTGAGTGCTTGCTGTTGTCAACTGATAAAGCTACAGTTGGCCATCGATGTCATCAGAGATCTGATAAGGCTACGTTTGAGCAGGGAGTATAATCCAAATGGCCTCTCTGCCAGTTAAAATGACAGACTTACCCACAACCTAGATGGCTATCCTAGGCTCCTCCATGATGAGCTCCCTGGTTTCATTAGGGGCAGAGGTTAGGGTAGTGTCAGTCTTCAGCCATCACACAGGACAACATTATCTCGGGCTGCCACAAGGGGCAGCATTAGCTGCCAGGCCCAGAAGGTTGAGAGACATTCCTGTAGATGAGGAACTTGAGAGATTGGCCTGTCATTGGAAAGCAAAGAGGGGCATCAATTCTCCAGTGTCCTGCTTGTTCACAGTTCAGGCAGGATCCTGGAGGTGGGCAAAGTCTGGAGCAATTCTTTGCCCGGTGGTTAGTGTCACCATAATCCTGGTGGAGTCTGTCTTCTGTGCCCCGTCATAGTCTTTGGAGGAGACCTTAGGACTGTTCCTAGGAGCTGGCATTTTTATTATGGGAAGTTTTGTTTTTTAAAAAAAACCTTTAAAATGCCAATAATCAACAGATCTAAGGAGTTTGAGGCCCATTATCTAGTCTATTTTGTCCCAATTTTAAACAAACTGTACTTATTTTTTTTTTTTTAGCTACTTACTTTAGGCTTAACCTTGAAAACATATACAGAAGGTTAAATAAAACTTATCTCTGTAAATGAATTACATTTGCATTTAGCATGACTACAAGTATAGTTCTGAGCATATTAAAGAATTTAATCACATATAAGGTGCTTATTAACTTGCATGTCTTAATAGTGTATAACAATTTAACAGCTTTTATAAGATTAGGATTTTATAGTTTTATCCATGTTAAGGTTTAGCCTTAAATTTTTGAATTAAAGATTTAATTGCAAATTCTTTAGAAATCAAAATAAAACTTTAAACTGGGAGCCATATTTTTTTCTTTCTTTTTTTTTTTTTTTTTTTTTTTTTTTTTCACACCTTTTTTTTTTTTTTTTTTTTTTTTATGATTCGGTTTATCCAAATGGCTAATGCTTAACAAGGTCAGCAAAGACGAGAAGGCTAGACATATATCTCTAAGTTTTTGTTAACCTGAGTAGACATCTATAAAAATTTGAAAATCTTAATCATTAAGTCCTTTTTTGCTTGGAATTTTACATATGTGTCATTACCTGGTACCTGGAAAAGGTCTTACACATCCCTAAAGAAAGTAAGTTTATATTTTACTAAGAGGTCTGACTATCCATGACCTTGCGTTTAGAAACATTTGTTTGCTAACAAAAAACAAAAAAAGGAGGAAGAAGGTCGGAGCTAGACATCTAATTACATTTAGCCATCCTGATTTTTATAGAAATCTTTTCATTAAAACATTTAAATAACATGGGACAGATAAATAACATAAGACAAATAAATGTACCGTTTGTGGTAAGAAATTTTTCCTAAAGGGGTTTTAGACAATATCTGCAGCCTGTGCCATCTACAGCTTTCCCATTGCTGCATAGATGAACTCCCTCTTTATTCTTAGTTTTCAGCCTGTATACCTTAGTTTTTCCCAGCAAGCCTTGAGGCCTCATGCGGTTTAGGGCCTCACTGCATACAATTATCTAGGAGTGACTGGATACTCCGGTGAAGGTCCAGTGGCCTTGTCTAGCTCTTCGTTTTTGGAGGAACAGTAACTTTTAACAAGCCCGGCTCTGGTTATTTTAAGCACCCATATCTGGATTTATTAGTGAGAGATTTCAAACAGAGGGCCTTATTTACTTTATAACCAGTTTGTGTGTATCTGCAGATGGAGGCAGATGACCTGAAAAGCTTCGTAAGTGTTTTCTTTCCTTATAAAGTCATCAAGTTGCAGAATAATATCAGTATCTGGAACCTAGAGGCCATTAAACAGAGAACTATAAAAACAAGACATCTGTGGGAACTCAGAAAATGCTAGCATCAGGTTGCTTTTGTTTCCTTTACAGATTTTTAACTGTACCCATAATAAGCTCACAAATCTTAAGGCACAGCAAGTTTCTACAACAGTCTTACAAGTCTTGAGATGAGTTTGTATTTCAGCAAAAGTTTAAGTAAAACCAAGAAAAGGAGTATGAGATGAACAGCAGTAATTCCTGTTGGAACAGTCTGCTTTTTAGCTGTCTTGAAGCTCCTGGTGTCTTTTCTTTTTTTTTTTGAACTGTTTTATTTTTCATTTTCCTGCCACAGGCAGGAGACCTGACCCAAGACAGAGCTTTTGGGGGAAACTTTTAAACAGGCATGCTTAGGTCTTGAGAGGAGGATCATACATCCAACTCCAGTGCCAGGTTATAATAAAGTAGAACAGCATAAAGCAATACTTCAATATTATCCAAATCCAAAAGACACCGGGATCCCCACAAGACTGAATCCAGTGACCATAGGGAGGGGCCAGAGCAAGCAGAGAACAAAAAGGGCTTAAAGGTAAGACATTCTGGGTGTGGGCCACTGGCCCACAGCAGGTGGTGGACTAGGGGGCTTACAGTGCTTGGGCTGCCTGTGCATGGGGTTGGGGTGGGGTCGGGGAGGATGTGGCAGGGCCAGCAGTTGCAGTAGGCAGAGCTCCATGGTCAGACAGGAGCCGGCTAAAAGATGAGACAAGCAGGGAGAGACGCTTGGGGAGCAGAGCTAGGGAAAAAGGACTGCACACGGGAGGGCATGGAGAACTGCCCGATGCAACGGTGGAGCTTAACAGCAGGCTCCGGCGAGCCAACCAGAGGGACTGAGGCAGAGTAGGCAGCTCCTAGGGCAAGAGGAGGAGAGACAAGTGGTTAGCCATGGTAATTGGCAGAGTAAGCTTCAGGAGGGAGCCGAGCAAGAGAGAGACAGAGCAAGCTCCTGAAGAGAGCTGGGAAGCTGCGGGGAGGAAGAGTGTCTGTGGTTTGGTTTCCCATGTCTGTGACAAAACTCACGAGCACACCAGAAAACACAGATCCACTGAACAAAACATCTGCGAGGTCAGTGGAGACCGGACAAACACAGGCATGTGGTGGCCACCTTCGCTCAGATGCCAGAATCAGGGGGACAGGAGGACGTCACCCGCTCTGTGTCTGGAACTGGGTCTATTATCATGTCTGATCTCCCCTATGTTGACCCAGATGTCCAGACTTCCAGAAGAGAACAAACCAATCACTCTGGGTTTCAAATGTTTTTCTTCTGTTTACAGATTTACAGTGGTCAGTCTGGGATCCCCTGGGCCTATACTCCCCTGGGCCTCTGAATGGTAGTACTTGTCCCATCTACGGTCTGTCCCAGACTAGTGACTCTTTAATTTGTGGCAGCCTTGCCCCTCTTAGGGCCTATTCTGAAACCCCCACCCCTGAGTCTGGGGTCTCCCAGGGATCCTGGACAATCCCCCAAGTGTTTTGAAGTTCAAGACCCCAAGGAAAAGACCACAGACTCAATCGGGATTATACTTAGTTAAATTTATTGAACCTGCTGGCAGGACAACCATGTCTGAGCCAAACCAGAGACTACTGTGTGAAGTGGGTGACAAAAGGACTTTTAATGACAAAACCCACAAGGAGACCTTGAGCATCTGTAAAAACGAGCCAGGAGCTGTGTTGTTCTGCCAAGGTGGTCCAGGCGACCGCAAAATAGTCCTTGAATGTCTGCATAAGCAGGTTACAGAAGCCAAAAAGCAGCTACTCATATCATAGTAAGTAGATGGTCATAGATGTACATCTCGGGGGTGGGGGAAGCCGGGGAGGTCACTGAGTCAGGGTTGCTGAGAACTTACCTTCCGGGGACTGGAGTTAGAGACAAATGGCTAATGGGTACCAAGATGGATAGCTAGCATAAAAGGGAGTTTCTTCAGCCATCGCACTTGGACCCAGGACACGTCCTGCCGTGTAAAGCCTCCCCACGTCGCTCAAACAAGGAGCAAGCTTACCCACAGACTTTACTGGGGGGGGGGGGGGTGCGCTATTCGTGGTAGTGCACCCTCTGGTGCTGGATGAGCTGAGAGCTCTGGCCAAAAGCTTTGCCACACGTGCCGCAGGCGAAGGGCTTCTCGCCGGTGTGAGTCCGCAGGTGCCGGAAGAAGTGCGAGCGGCCGCGGAAGGCCTTGCCGCAGTCCCCGCACTCGTAGGGCTTCTCGCCGGTGTGGATGCGCTGGTGTTCGATGAGCACGGAGCTCCAGATGAAGGCCTTGCCGCACTCGCTGCACACGTACGGCCTCTCCCCCGTGTGCAGCCGCTGGTGGCGCACCAGGTTGGAGCTCTGGCTGAAGGCGTGCCCGCATTCGCCGCACTTGTAGGGCTTCTCGCCGTTGTGGATGCGCAGGTGCTGTGTGAAGTGGGAGCTGTGGCTGAAGGCCTGGCCGCATTCGCCGCACTCGTAGGGCTTCTCGCCCGTGTGGATGCGGTGGTGCTGCATGAAGCCCCACCAGCTCCCGAAGCGCTTGCCGCACTCGTGACAGGCGTAGGGCTTCTCCCCGGTGTGGATGCGCTGGTGCTTCAGCAGCAGAGAGTTGTACTTGAAGCATTTCCCGCAGGCCTCACAGCGGTGTGGCTTGGTGCCCCGTGGGCCCACTGGCCGGCAGTCTCGGCCCAAGCTACTGCCCAGTTCGGCAGTCTTCTTGGCGCTGCCCTCGGTCCCTGGGGCCCCCTGTGGCAAGAGTACCATGTGCCAAGTGTCCTTTTTCTGAGAGCAGGGCGCGGTTCCTGGAGGCTGGCCTGCTGGCTGCTCCAAGCTACATTCCTGGCTGACGCCGTCCTCACACACAGACATGCTGGGAAGAGTCTTCAAGGGGCCTTCCGGTGCCCTCCCATCTGAGGCCAGACCATCTCCAGGACTGCAGGCATTGGGAGAGGCTGGAGTCTTCTCGGGCTCCCACTCAGGGTCTGAAAGGAGAAATGGCAGCAGATAGCTCCCAGCCTCACCCCTACTGTGGCATTCCAGGAGCTGAGCCCTGGGAAAGTCTGAATGGGGACTATTCAGAGGAGAAGGGGGAGGCTGGGTGGGGGAGTGTGTATGTGTGCTTAAGGTGGAGAGTGGGGGTATACTAGAGACTTATAAAGATGGCGTCAGGACCCTGTCTGTTGGCCCTGGGCCTGCATAGGCGCCTCTCTGGTGGTTAACTAGAACTGTGACACCTCACTTGGCTGGGAGAAGTACAGGTTGCTATTAAGCACTAGCAAGGACCTAGAACTCTGAGCGCTCTCTACAGTGGTCCTTCAGGCTGAGATGGCTAGGAAGATACTCATCTTAGCCCACAACGTCAGGTAACAAGGGTGCCCAAGACCTGCTCTGCCAAAGGAATGGGATTGGCTATAGCCCCCGTCACAGGTATATACCCCAGCCCAGCCACCCTCTCTGGGTGGACAAAACTGGGAACTAGGCTCAAGCAGAGTCCCAGGCAGCATGGCCCTGACCCTTAGCAGACCCAGGTAAATGCTGAGTGTTGCATCTAGCTGGGTTTTCCCAATGCTGCCTAGAGCGAAACAGGAACAGGGCTGCTCGCTCACCAAGCCCCATGTCTCTGCTGACCTCCACTTCTTGGAGGTCTGGGTCTGCTGTCTGGGAAGGCACCTTAGGGCTAGAACAAGGAGAGCCTGGAGGCAGGGAACTAAGGCTATCCAGAGGGCAGCATCTCTGCCCCTTCCCTCCTTCCTGAACTTAGAGGACTCCAAGACACTGAGGCCAAGACCCTGACACACAGTTTATCCCTCACCTTCCCAGCATCTCCTTATGGCCCCGAAGAGAAGTTCGGCTGGCTGTGGTGACTGTGCCCTGGCTTCCCCATCAAGGAAACCCTCCTGAGGCCCTGGCTCTGGGAATGCATTCTCCCTCAGTTCTGTAGGCAGGCACAAGCCCAGCTGCCCTGACATCTCCTGTCTGGGTGATGCTGGCTGATGTCCTGGCTGACTCTGGTCTGGCCTCCTTCCCACCCATCCCTGCTCACTACACTCAGCCCTGCAGCTGCACCAAGATCCCAGCTTCTCTGTTCTTATGGTCACAAGCCAGCCATGACTCCTTATCTGCATCTGCAAGGCCAGAGAAGTCCTAGAAGGACTGCTTTATCCCCTACAGCCTAGCGAGGCCTCTTGCTCGGATATGGTTAGCCAGGGTGGACTGGGCTGTCGCTTAGAGCCCTTCCTGTAGGACCTTAGCAGGGGGGGCCCTTGTGTATTCTTTGCTTATGTTTTTCCTTGTGCTACTCCCAAAGGAAAGGACCCCGAAATGACTTATGTGCAAAGGTCACACTGAAGATTGCTGGGACCTGGATGTCCTGGATGGGCCTCTTTTGGAGCCCAAGGTTTCAAGAAGTCCTGGTAGATATGCAGGCAGGCTTCAGAACACTGGGGTCTTCTCTGGCAAGGAATCTGTGGAATGAGCCCAAATGGTGTGACATGTGGTAATCCCAGAGATTCAGGAGGCTGAGGCAGGGAGTTAAAGGTTAGCCTGGGCAACACTGTGAGACCCTAGCTCAACAAGAACACAGGAACACAAACAAAAATGGAATCCGCCGGCATTCAAAAGTAGCAGGAGAACGACTTGGGCTCTGAGAGGCAGCCTTGCCCTTGCTGGTAGTTAGGAGGCAGGCATAAAGACCACTTATCTCTTGTATAATGGATGCAATGGGTGATAGCCATTCTCTCACCTACCTCCAGATGCTCAGGGCCTTCCCAAGCTCCACTGTGACTTGGTAAAAACTCTTCCACCAACAACCATACCTTGGTCCAGAACCCACTCTGCCCCCTCGTGTACCTGTTCACAGGCTCACCAGGAATAGCATAATGCTGTAAGTCTGTCTAAGAATTGTTCTAGGGGCAGTCAGAAGGGTCTTGGAGCCAGGCAGCAAACAAGAAAGGGCTTGGGGTTCCTACCTGGTCTTGGGTTGACCCCTTAGTTCCCTGGGAAGTATAATCTCTCTGTCCTCATCTATGAGTGTCCCTCTGTAAGCTGTGGCTCGGCTCTCTCACCTAAGAGAGCCTGGCACAGAACGCAGCTGCACTGTATCAGCCACTAGAATTCTAGGACCCCATGGAGATCTGGTCCCCGTGTGGGGTCTTTTCCTCACTGGCCTCTCATGACAGCAGTGAGGCTTCCTATGTGCCTCAGGAATGAAGCCTCTGGATCACATGGCCTCTGAGACCTGAGGTGTGCTCAGTGCTATGACAAGGTCAGGACCCCTAATACCAGCCGACTGATGAGGCTACCCCACCTGAGCGAAGCAAGGCTGCCAGCTCTGTCCCTGCAAGTCAGGAGGCAAGCACACCCAAATTAGCCAGGCAAAAAATGCTGCCTCTCTTTCTAGCTTAGGACATGGCGTGGGGGGAGGGGGGTCTTCTCTTCTGAACCCAGGGCCCATTCTGAGGTCATTTTTCCTTTTAGAGTGAGGAAGAAACATACCCCGGGGGTTGAGGGAGGGGGCAGTTCCCTGGAGATTCAGAGCATGGCCTCAACCATTGCTGCCTTCCAGCATTCCCCTCAGGGCTTTTCCCAGTGGCCCCACAACTGAATGAGCTACCTAAGTGGCCCATCCCTTCCTCAGGAGGACAAGGCACAGGTCAGACCAGTCTCATGGGGTGGAGGTGGGGCAGAGGGGTACAGCAGTCTGGGGTAAATACCGTGAGGATGCCCGTGGAGTGCCACATGGCGCTGGTCTCCAGGTGTCCCTGGTGGTGACAGACTGTTGGGTGACAAGACAGGAGTGGACTCCTCAGTGTCCTCTAATGCTGCCATCTTTCTAAGACCTGCTCAAGGAGAGTGCACCTGGGACCTGAGGAGAATGAAAACCAAGGTAGGTGATGGGAAGAGAGTATGTTGTTGAACACCATGCCAGCTTCTGAGCAGTCCTAGGTGACACTGAGCTTCTCTACTTAGCAAGAGAAGGTTGCCAAAGAAAGGCAGGTGAACTCGGGAGTTGCAGGGCCTATGACACAAGGGCCTGAATGCTTATTCAGTGTGGAACCCTCATCAGTTCCGGCAGCACCGCCAGCAAGGCAGAGTGACCCCAAAGCTCTTCTCAGTGAGGTGTTCTACAGGGTCTTCCCCACAGAGCCTGCAGAGAAAAGAATACTTACTCTTCCAGCGAATACTCCTGCACCACAGTTGGCGCTTTGGCTCATGGGAGTGTGAGGCGTGAGGATCCTAAATCTAATTTTTAAAGGGGTTACTTCATGAAAATCAGAAGGGATACATTTCCAGAGGGAAATTTTTTCCTCAGATCCTGAAGAGTCTGAGGCTGCAACCCCAACCCCAGATTTCCCACAGCACCACCCTACAGGCGTGCGTGTGCGTGAAAGGCACATTTCCAGGGCAGAGGCTCAGTTGACTGAATGCTTGCTTAGCATGCCTCACGCCTTGGCCCGGTCCTCAGGACCACAAAAACTGGGTGCGGTGGAGCATGCCACTAATCCCAGCACTTGAGAGGTGAGGGCATCAGAATAGTAAACTCAAGGGCATCCTTGGTTACATAGCAAGTTCGATGCCAATCTGAACTACACAAGACTGGAGAAAAATTTAAAAAGGGAGGGAATTTGTCCTTAACTTGGCTTGCCATAAACTGATGGAGCTCAAAGAGAGAGACTGGTTTTCTTCCACAAAGTGACACGGGGAGAAAGGATGATAAGGAATACACATGGGGTGAGATGCAGAAGCACCAGCTGGGTGCAGTTGCGGGGTGGACACTGTGGCGCCGCCCTGCTGGGTTCCCTAGGTTGAAACTACTCAGACGCCCCGATGGGGCTAACCGAAGCCGCTGCAAGGAAAGCTACGGAAGAACCGAAGGGTCCGCGTTGGACCTACTGGGAGGGGCGACCACTCACCTTGCGAGAGGGAGGAGGCCGACCGCGCGCCGGCCGGAAGTTCTCCGCCTCTGGGAAGTCCCGCCCCTTCGATTCCGGGACGCTCTGGACCTCGGAGGACCACGCGTCGGTGGTCTCTTGGCCATCAAAGCCTTTCTTGTGTGTAGCTTCTCCCGCAGAGGGTTTCTGCCCCACGGCTCAACGCAGTCCGAGAAGCCCGGCAGAGGCCCTCGAGGCAGAGGCGTCAGAACCTGGGTGTTGGGCCGCGGAGCATATCATAGCCGCGTCATTGGAATTGGCTCCAGCCAGTACCAAACGTGATGCCACAGGCTGCAGCTGACCTTACCTCTTAATGTGGTTGTAAGAATTCTCGCTGCAAACACATTTTCATAACCAGCGACAGCATCAAGACGCTGGGAGCTGCTGTCCGTTGTGACTAAGCCACTGCCAATTGTAGTGGAGTTCGAGACCACGGGAAAAGATCCCTAGACTTGATTCAGATTATAACTAAGCAAAAATTTAAGACTGCTAGCAGGGCCACAGTCTCTAACCCAAATCAGAGATGCACTGCCTAGAAGGCAGTGCAGGAAGAACAGTTTTTAAGGGTGAAAACCACTAGATCTGTTTTGTTTTGCCAAGATTAGATGATGAAGGTGACCTCAAAATAGTCCTTGAATGTCTGCATAAACAAGTTATAGAAGCAAACCAACAGTTAGTCTTATTATAATGAGCAGATGGTCACAGCTGTGCATTTCATGGGGGAGGGGTTTGGCAAGGAGTCAAGGTTGGGAAGATCTAACCTTCCAGGAACTTGAGTCAGAGACAAAGAACTATCAGCTTCCAAACCAGATTTCTATATGGAGTTTCTTTATCCATCATAGCAGGCACTTGTGTTAGAGTCTCTCTCACACACGATACCCAGCCTGATTGATAACAGCTGGCCCTCTAGGCTGTGTTTAGGAGTGCCAAGTGGGTTCCACCTCCCCCAGTCATCACATGAACCTCCTAAGCTTTTCTAGGTAGGAGGGCTAGTCAACCCCAGAATCATCTACATGAGGTTCTAAGAGCCCTTCCCACACACATGGCTGGTTAGTGTGTAACAGGCTCCCAGACCTTAGAACAACTGATTTCATGGTGGAAGTACCAGTTAGGCCATAAAACTCAACACAGAGACACCTGCCAAAAACAAAAACAAAGACCTAATTCATCAAAGTCTATACTTCTGTGAAATCTCTAACTGTATCGTCCTTGCTTTTTGGCTTCTGTAGTTGTGCTTCTGGTTAATAGTTCCTATTAATTGAAGTATGGCAAACCAGGATATGGTTTTTGTGCTTAAAAGCTCACCTGGGAAAAGGCTTGGGGCTACACTGGGATTCTGAACACCCACTGTAGTCACCGGCTGGCTAATAAAGACTTTTTGTTGGCTTAAACCCATGTCCAAGCAGTCGTATCTGCTGGATACCCCACATTATTTCTGGGGGTCCCACAGAGATCCCCAGAGGCTAGACCCTGAGACAGGAGGGAAGGAGTGTGTGGGGAGGGGTGTGTGTCTCAGATGTTCTCAGAGCAGTGAAATGCAACAGTCAGGGAGCTCCTGGGGGGTGCACAACCTGAGATGTTCTGGGTCCCCAGGACTTCCTTTGATCAGTCGTTCCTTAATGCTTTGGAGGGGCCTGACACCTTCACCCCAAAAGGAAACAGAGAGAAAGTCTCCTGGTCTGTCACTTCCAGAGGTAAGCCTGGTTAAGGTGCCTTCTGTTTGGACGGATGGGAAAGGTCGGACGTGGCGGTGTTGTGTCCAGGCTCTGTGCAATGTGTCACTAGAGTCCTTCTGTCCATTCAAGCGAATTGAATGCGTGGCAGCCACCCGACTGTCTTTATTGTATGTCTTTGTGTATGTGTTTCTGTCAGCTGTTTCCCTGTATTAACCAATGGCTGTAAGACACTCCCCGCCCCCCATCTCAGCTTAAGATCAATGCCTTTTGTTGGGGACCCAAATTCTTTTGGCTCTGCCAGGTTGCCCTGAGAAACCAAAAAAAAAAGCCTCCTCCTCCCCCCCCCTGCCTCCCCCATCCTTGACTCCTGGTCCCTGTGTGGAGGTGGGGAGGGGCCAGGGCTCTCATTCCGGACCCCTGTCCATCTGAGCAGAATGCACACAGGGAGGGGGAAATAGTTCCCTGAGGTGCATTCCCTCTGTTCCCAGCCTGCTCTAAGCAGAACAAAGGAAGGAGAAAAGAAGAAGCCCCACTCCCTCCTCTTTCATGATTTATGGCTCCTTTTCAACCAAAGCTCACCATTCTCTTCGATGAAAAAAAAAAAAAAAGAATTGAAAAACGGCTCCCAGGCTTGAGGGTGGGGTGGGGGTGGGGGGAATCTGTGCTGGACAATGCAGCCTGGCTAGAATGGATTTTTTTTCCCTTCTGTCCAACACCGATCGAGACCGCGTTGGTTTGAATAAAAATGGCCCCCATAGGCAGGCCCATGGCAAGTGGCACTATTAGTAGGCCTTGTTGGGCTAAGTGTGTCACTTCCTGCTGCCTGTGGATCAAGATGTAGAGCCGTCAGGTCCTTCTCACGTCTGTCTGCACACCACCATGCTTCCCACCATGACGATAACGGACTAAACCTCTGAAACTGTAAGCCAGCCCCAATTAAATGTTTTCCTTTGTAAGAGTTGCTGTGGTCACCGTGTCTCTTCACAGCAATAGAAACCCTAAGAGATTTTAAACAGTCTCTTTTGGGAGGAATAAAAACAGCCGCTACAAGGATTTCCTTTGTATGCAGCTGACCCCAGGTATTAGTTAATAAATTATTATATATTAGTATAAAAGTTAAACAATTTAAAGGTATGAATAGGTCACACAGAGAACCAATTGAGAAACAAGATTTTTTTTTTTTTTTAAACTGAAAGCCACTGTCACCGTCTCTGATCATGAGATACAGTTAGACTTACACATATCCTGGAAAATTTTGGTGTCCTGCCTTCTGCTGGAAGAAAATTTTCTAGCTGAAGGTCCTGTCCCTATTCAAAGATGCAGCTGGACTATCAGATTGACAACACAGATTCCCAGTGTATAGAGGGAAACTAACCTGCCAGGACTGGTCCAACACCAAGTTCAGCCACCCCCATCCAGATTAAGCAATACCCAATGACCCTGGAAACACAAAGGAAAATTGCAGGCCATATTGCCTGGCTTAGAGACGCAGGCATCCTGGTGCCCTGCCAGTCACCCTGGCACACGCCTCTCTTGCCTGTGAAGAAACCTGATTCTCATGAGTCTGATTCTTCCAGAGAAAGAGGTGTACACTGTTTTGGATCTGAAAGATGCAGTCATCAGCCTCCCATGGGCAGAGGTGAGCCAACCCATCTTTGCTTTTACATAGACAGACCCAGAGAGAGGTTACAGCGGGAAACTCACCTGGACCAGGTTGCCCCAAGGATTGAAAAATTCTCCAATTCTGTTTGATGCGACACTAAATGCTGACCTCCTGCTCGTCCAGCAGGTGTTTCCTTGGGGCCATGCCCTTCCAATATATATTCTTATATACCCCTACCATACCTCCTCCTAGCTTCTCAAATTAAAATAAAGCATAAAAAGGGCCACTGCGAGACTGCTGAGAGAGTTACAAACTTTGGGCTACAGAATGTCAGCTCAGAAAGCCCAGCTTTGTACATCAGAGGTTATCTATCTTGACCACCAGCTGAGAGGAGGCAGGAGAAGCCTGTTTCAGGGTAGGATTGCTGTCATCCTTCAGATCCCAACTCCAAGGACTGAGAGGCACGTCTGAGAGTTCCTCAGTGTGGCTAGTATTGTTGCCGCTGGATACCAGAGTTTGTGGAAATGGCAAGGCCTGCGTATGTCAGCACAAGGGTCGGGAGGCACTGAGCCCCTAATCTGGGCTGAGACTAAACAAAAGTATTTGAGGCTTTAAAAGCAGCTCTGGCTTCGGCTCTAGCCCTGGCACTTCCAGATGTCTGAAAACCTTTTCATCTGTGTTTTAGAGTTTTATTGCTGTGAAGAGACACCATGTCCAAGACAACTCTTATAAAAGAAAGTATTTAATTGGCTCTGCCTTGCTTACAGTTTCAGAGGTTCAGTGCATTTCCATCATGGTGGGAAACATGGCAGCATGCAGACAAACATGGTGCTGGAGGAGCTAAGAGTTCTACATCTTGATCCACAGATAGCAGAAGACTGTGTGCCACACTGAAAGTAGCTTGAGCATATGTGACCTCAAAGCCCACTGCCACAGTGACACACTTCCTCCAAAAAGGCCACACCTACTCTAACAAGGTCACACCTCCTAATAGTGCCACACCCTATGGCCGAGCATTCAAACACACTAGTCTATGGGGGCTGAATCTGTTCAAACCACTACGGTCTGTTTGTCCATGAAACAAAGACATTACAAAAGGATTTTTAAACTTAAAATTTGGGGTCAGGGAAGCTCCTTGTGACATACCTGCTCAAAGGACTGGACCGGGCAACCTTGCAGGATGTCTCACCTGTCTCTGTGGCAGCTACTGCTAGTCTAATGAAACAAACAAACAAATTAACTCTAGGTCAGGGTCTTATACTCATAACACTCCACACCAGAGGCCCTTTAAGAAACACCAGAACACGGGCTGTCTAATGTCCATGCGACCCAGTACTAAGCCCTACTCTTGGACCATCAAGTCTGGTTTGAGAAGCCCACTGCCACCAATGCTGCCACCCTCTTGCCTGATAATGACCCACAGGTGCTCATCAATGATTGTCACAGAAAGATGAAAGATTAAAACTAGGTATATGGGAGCTACTGTAGTTACTTAACTGAAATGATTTTGGCCCAAGCCTGGTACCTCAACCCAT